GGTGAAAAAAAAAAAGTATCTTTTTTTTTTTTCAAGGTAACGGATTATATACATAAGCGAAACGAAGCGAGAAAGTTGATATCTTCCATAACGAAGGATACAAGCGGTTAATTAACACTTTAATGGCGGCGGGACCTTTCCTATATTAAACATGCCGCGTGTCCTAGCAGCGATTAAAGCATTACCATTAACGTCTTTAACTTTTGATATCTTTATGGAGGATGGAGGATATCCCTGGGGCGGTATAGAAACGGATTTGCAAAATTACTGGCCAAAGTCTCGATGAACCGTGTTACGCTAAATTGACGCGTTCATTATAACGAGAATGACGAAACTTTTGGTATCGTCTTACTATCGAGAAACGTATAAAAAGTTATAAGGACAGTAGTATTTTTATTAATAAACGAATAAATTGTAAATATTTTGAAACGAAAGATAAAGAAGAATAAAGAAGAATTGTAATTAATATATAACTCCGAAGATAGAAAGAAGATAGAACTTTTGATTCTCGAAATATCGTCGTATAAAGAAAAGTTAATAAACGGTTTACTTCAAAGCCTATTAAAATTAGAAAAACTTTGATTCGTTATAACTTCGAAAATAATGACTTCCGGTTAACGAACGAAAGATCGTTAGAAGCGCAGAACCTTGCCCTTTAAAACGCATTCAGATTCATCCCGATACGACTTCCGGTTCCCGAGATATCATCGTGTAAAGAGTAAGGTAATTTTTAATCGTTTTTCATTTCCATCGCGCTCTCGCTCGTGTCTGATCCTATTTCAAACTCCAAGTGACAGGCGCAATTCATATGCGCGTACTTACGTCTTTTCAGGCAAAACGTTTCAGAGGCCGTTCGCAATCTCTATAAGCGATATGGAAACTTTGAGACCTTGTATCTCAGCAACCTTTATTGAGATAAAGGGATGAAACAAAAAGCAACTTCGAGAGCATGGCTTTCTCCATTTCCCGGGAGGATTTTTCGAGGACAAAATTTTTAATTTCTTCCGATATTTCTAACGTGAGAATCCAAGCTTTATTTACGACTCTGTGTAAAGTATACGATGTATCCTCTTAAGCACATCGATTGAACATTCGAGCATGTTTTAGCTGGCATAAAAATCGAGAGTTTAGTAAAAAAAAAAAGGATCGCGCCCATTTTATCACGGTGGATCGTAATTTTTGTCGTATCGTGATTGATTAACCCCTCTGACCGACCGATATTTCCCCTCTTAAATCCAGCCGCGCCGCGCACCTGTGTGACGTGACATGGGCGGTCAGAGGGATACTTTATAGTCACTCGAAAAAAATGGTTAATCCACGATGCTGTCGCGGCCACGTAGCGGGGAAATATTTCGCGCCAAGTGGTGGAGCGAGCTAAAAAGTGAAAAATCATCGCGAGAGAAATCTCCTCAAAATTTTCACCCCTCGCTATTCGCTGTTGTTCGAAAACAACGAAAATTGGTGAAAATGTCGCCAATTCTCGAATGTCGCCGACTCGATCTCCCCAGAGATTGCCACACTTTACATAATCGAGGATCGTGAAATTGCTGCCCATATTTTTACCGCACCTTCCTTACGATTCGAAATATCAACAATTCCAATAATTATCGAGCCCGAATTGCGCAGAACGGGGCACAAGCGACGATTGGAGAGATCTGCATGGGATGTTTGGGAGGTTTCGTATCCCGATAAAAGTTTAAATTAAAGTTCATTCGATTTTACGGCACACGTAGCAGCGCGCCGTTAGACGCAGTTGGCCGCGCTGGTGCGAACGTGTTTTGCCGCAGTGCAGGATGCAACACACAGGGCATAGTTATGCGCCGCCCGTTCTCCATCGGTGTGTACTTTCGTGCGGCCATTCGGCTCCGCGAGGAAACCCTCGTTCGAGGTTTGTTCGTGCGTTCACCGACCGATCGGCGGCGTGCCCGAATTACGCGTATAAATTCGACACGAAATACCAATATACCCACCCCCTCCCCTCTCGATCGCGGTTGTAATCCAAATTTCGCGACGCTCTTGTTTTTTTTTTTTTTTTTTCAATTTTTCGATCCGTGTCGCCGGACAATATGGAACAAGAAGATTTCGTTGTTGAGATTTTATTATTATTATTGTTATTATTATTATTGTATCTTGGCAAATTTTTTATTTTTATTTATTAGACTTATTTTTTTGGTTGTTTTAGTATTATTTTAATTGTTTCAAATTTATTTTATTTTATTTTTTTTTTTATTGTTTCAGATTTTTTTGATTGTTTTAGTATTTTAATTGTTTTAGATTTATTTTTTTATTGTTTTAGTATTTTAGTTGTTTGAGATTTATTTTTTTAATTGTTTTAGTATTTTAGTTGTTTCAGATTTACTTTTTTAATTGTTTTAGATTTATTTTTTTAGTTGTTTCAATATTTTAGTTGTTTCAGATTTTTTGATTGTTTTAAATTTATTTTTTTTTTTTTTTTTAGTTATTTTAATATTTTAACCACTCGAAATTTCGAAGTCTTTTTTCGCACGGCCGAACCAACAACTCGAGACGATTTTCGGTGAATTTCTTACGGCTAACTGAAAATAATTTCACGCGCATAATTAACGTATGAAATTTTTATATTTCCATATTTTATGTATCTTTATGTATAAAGAATGTAAATTTGTCGAATATTAAACTCTGTATCGTTGTTTCGGGCGATATTTTATAATTTTTAATCTTTCACTTTTCGTCGAAAGGAAATCTTATAATCCTTCTTAACTCCTGTCATACGTAACATTCACCATCTATTATTCTTATTTTTCGCCTTTTTTACACCTCTTGTTTCATTTCTCTCTCTCTCTATCGTCAATTTCTTCACGAATAGAAATAATTTCGTCGATTCGAAAACGAAAAATCAAACTCATCCTCGCTCGAGGTTAATCGTCGCCACGTTCCACGCTTATAAAAACCCAAAAACTTTGAAAATAATATTCCTATATCGCCACGAAACTGTGAAACTCGACCAATGCCGAAGTTGCGGTCGGATCCTCGACCACGATCCAATTCGAGACAAGAAAATCCACCTATTCGACATTATATTATTCTACCTTATACGTAAACAAGTTAAGAATGTATTCACGAAGCGAATATGACAAAAAATGAATCGTAAATAAATATCGTCGAAGTGGTAGGTTAAAATAAGTTAAAATACGTGTACGAGTGAGTGAGAAACCAAGCGTAAACTAAATATGTACGTGTATAAGTAAGAGTTATGGTCGGAGTAGTCGACTGGAAAAAGAGAAACTTTTTTATGAAGCATTCCTTCGAGCTCACTCAACATATATATCTTTCTGAAAGCGAAAATAAGAATTTTAATTTTTACACGTTCGAGAATAGGATGAAAATATTTTAAATAAATAATTGGAAACAGAAAACGAAAAGCGATTCATTTTCTTATGGAGATACAAATGGGACATTCGCTTTTTCGAATTTTTTTAGCGTTTGGTGGATCGAAATTTTCTTTATTTTCGTATATTTTGATTCATAGAAAAGTTGCCTAAAATATTGGCTCCAGCTTTTTTTTTCAAATTCTCCGCGCAACATTGAAAAGCTTTCCCTTTGCCGTACTCGAACATTCTTTTTTTTTTTTTTTTTTTCATTTTTTCAATATATATATAATAGAATGTTACATAGATTTCAATTTTTGAAAAGGAACCGAATATTCTCCATCTGTTATCGCAGTATTATTGGTTATTAAATTATTACAGTTTCGTGGATCGAAGTCCATTATCGAAGTCTTCGATATGATTTGAAAAGTGAATTATAATTGTATAATATGTGAATTATAATAAAAATTGAATTAATTTATAAAGTGAATTATTCTTCGAGAGCTTGCTTTGTACGATGAAGAAAAGAGAAAAAAAAATATTTGGGTGAAACTTAGCAATTCGACGTATCTCGAAACGAAAAATGCGTATTAATGTATCGTGGCAACGTTGCATCGAATTTCGATAAATTTCGTATTGTTTAATTTTCAGACGAGGCTGTGCGTAGCACGCGTTTGATCGAGGCTGATAACGATCTCCAAGAATATGCCACGCCGGATCCGAATCCTTACTTCGACACTACGCGCGCGTCGAACGTGACGGGTCTCGTTGGAAAGACGATTCAACTCGTTTGCAAAGTGAAGAATCTTGGGAACAGAACTGTAAGTAATTCCTTCGTTTATTAGCGAGAAAATGCGAAGTATGATCTTGGAATGGAATGATCTATCATGTGTGTGCTTAATAGGAAAATTAGATGAAATAATTTGATGCAAAAATTGTAAATAAATTTTACAGTGTAAAGAGAGTTAAATTTAGAAGCTTAATATAATAAAATAATAAAATATAATATAGTAAAAATAAAGAAACTTTTGTATTAAATAATCTTATACGTATATATTTTATGTATTTAATTTAAATTTATTTTCCTATCGTTATTCTTTTAATATTGTTAATGAAATTTAATAAGTTTAGAGAATTATATTTATATTTTTCTATATAATGAAAATGTTTCAATCTACATTTTACATGTCTTTTGTTACTTATTCATCTTCGTGCAAAATAGGATAGAATTTGGGCGAATTTCCAAGAACTCAAAAAAGCATCGAAATTAGTACATCGTGATTCCCAAAATTCCACGTATATTTTTTATATATTTTGAATTTATTTTCATTATTATTCTTTATAGAAATTCTAGCTAATTTATATTTTTCCATACGATATTTCAATTTTTATATTTTACACATCTGTTGCACTCGCTCTCTATCTTTGTGCAAAATAAGATACTTCCAAAATTCTATGTGTATCCTTTATATATTTCGAATTATTTCACCCATCATTCTAACATCGTTGATATAATTTTACCGATTATTTTCTTTCTCATTGTTATCCTTCATAGAAATTCCACCTAATTCATATTTTTCCATCATACGATGGAAATGTTTCAATCTCTTCGCGGAAAAAAAAAACGAATTTCGAAATTAGTATCAAACGCGACGAATCGTGATCGCGACGAGTTCGAAAAATCGAAAATTCCACGCGTATCGGCGGTCGGTAAACGAGATGTCAAACATCACGCGTGCCGGGTCAACCGATTTGTTGTTGTCCGCGCGTCACGCGCACACGAATTCCAAGAGTGATATTACGAGATCGGCTGAAACGTCAACGTTTCGCCTATGTATTGACGAATCATACGCTCGAATCGATTCTCTAATCGCCAAACTCCTCCCTCCCCCCCCCCCCCCCCCTCCCGAAACATGCCACGTGACTCGTTTAGAAAATTCTATTCGGACAGATTCTCAACTCGAACCGGCCACAATATTTATTTACCTTCTTCGATATTTCTTGAAACATCGTTTTAATCCCCGTTTATCGATTCAATTCGCGTTATTGGTTCAAACAGTCGCGATCCAAAGATCGTAACAACGATTCTTTCTTCCTTGCTTATGAGGAATATAATTTAGAAAAGTATTCGTATTCCTCACGCTCTACGTTTATAAACAAAATTAACACGTTTGTTTATACACTCGTCTCTGATTATAATTTTATTACTATGTGGTTTGTAAACCATACGCTCGGTTAAAAGGTTAAAGATTGAAGGCTAACTGTCGAGCCTGGCTCATTAAGTGTATATTAAACGGAAGGAAAGAAGCACGTTCGTACGTTTGGAAGGCAATGTCGTATTTTTTTAATCCCGAAACTCATTTCCATGCAAAGCTCGAGCTCGACCACCGCACTATGTCACACGGGTTAATACATTTCGTTGATATGGAACACGTATCCACGCGTGAAACACTGGATATGAAGAGGGAAAGGTGGGGGAGTCGAGATTACACGAAAGGAAGGGGAATCTTTCGCCCCTCCCATCCTGCTTTCTGTATTTGAATTAAAAATACACACATACACACACGCGCGCGCGCACACACACACACACACACACACACATACACAGAGTGCAGGAAGAACGCCATATTTCGAAAGCAGGCGCAAACGAACCACTGCTAGAAATTGGGCGGTTAATCCCGAGACGTAATCGTGATATTTGCTCGAGATGCGAAACGAGAAATGTTCTCGCGCTTTGTGAAAAGAAAAAGGTCGATTTCGATTTCGACTCCTCGAAATGGACAGGAAAACTGTGTGTACAGAAAATTCGAATTTTATTTTATATAAAGGAGGGGGAGGGGGAATGGTAAATAACGTATGTTCAATTATGATATATAATGGGGCAATAATATTCAAATTTTTTTTAAAATTCTGTCTAAATTCTGAAAATCCCGAGCATTGTGTCGAATAATTTCTATACGTTGGATTTAATTAACTGCGGGTATTATTTATGAACCACATACTAAAATTTTAAGCAGAGGCGGGTATATAAACAATATGTTAATTTTTGCTATTATCAAACAGGCGGTTGTGGCTTATATACACCGATATAATAAAGATAAAATAAATGCAATAAAAAATAAATATCACTTCGGTAATATAATTTAAAATTAGAATGTATATATTTTTATTTTTTCTTATCGTTGATTATAAAATAATTTGTCGGTCGGTATGCTTTTATTTTTTTATCCTATTTTTGTCCTAGTACAAGATAAAAGTTTAATCTCATTTTACTGCTATTCTTTCTAAGTATATTTTCGTAGAACTTTTCTTTAATATGGATAAACCTCTTCTACTTCTTCCAGTCCTTTCTCGAGAAAAAGTTAAACGTTAAAGAAAATATTGACGAATATAGTTGATGAAGTTTTAGTATGAATAATATAAATATACGCTTTATTATATGATACTTTCTTACTTTTTGTAATTTATAAAATAATTAGAATTATATTGTCTAATCTTATGATTTGATTTTAGTAAAATATTTTTTTTTTTTTTTTTTTGCGTTTCGAACGATCAACTGTGTTAAAGATATCCGTAAGGGTTAACAATACGTGTTTTTATTTGAAACAAAATAATACTACGCGCATAAAAAAAAACATGGTTTTAAAGTGGTTATTTAACAGTGAATAATATAACGTGGAAAAATAATTACACCGCGGTTGAAATAGATCCGGCGATAAATAATATCGACGGTATTGCGTCGAGTATTATGCAGTATTCCAATAATTTCGCGTTAAATTTACGGGAGTTATCGATTACCCGTTAATTTAAACACGCTAATTAATTCACAAATGCGTCTATAAATAATATTTAAAGATGTATTTCGAACTGTATTTTTAATTTCGTCGATTAATAATACCATGTATTGAATTGAATGTTCGAAGAGGAATTCGAAAGATGATGAAAATGAACGAGAGCGAGAAATTCCCTGTTTATCGATATATAAATATGTAACGAGGGATTCAAATATGGGAGAGGGGGAAGAGGATTCAAGTTTTGCAAAGATGGCTTTTAGAGTTTGGTCACTGGAAAATTCATATATTTACATCATGCTGGTTTCAATGGTGAATCTCTTGTAATATATGTATGAGTTTAAAGCGTACCTTTTGTGCCATGTTCGATGCCAAGAAATGATTTCCTATTCCGAAACTTGTACCGAGACTTGTTCAACCGCACAGTTGAATACACACGCGCACATTTTTTGTTTCACACGCGATTCTCGAAATGTTTCTTCTATCGCGTAGGAAAAAGCAGTCAGCGGATTATATATTATAATTTTACGCACATTTTTCGCCATTTTTATATCCTTCTTTCAAACTATTGCAAATATTGCAAATATTATTATACTATGATTTCACTACGGTGAAAAAGTTTACCAAAAATAACGTCTCACACGGATTACGATATACACAACAAATGTATTTGACTGTT